TCCGAAATCTACTTTGACAAAGAATAATACATGTTAACTTTTCTATTTCATCTCTGTATGTGGACCGAAAACTGAGAATTTGCCTGACCAATGATTCAGATATGTTTTTTTGATATATTTCAACAAACTTCAGTGCTTTATTTGATAGATCAGTATCATTAAAATTATGCAAAGTGGCAGGCAACCCTAAGCTCGCAGCCTCTTGTGTCGGGGGCCCGTGAAATTTTGCCAGTTTTGCCACCCTATAGTTACGCCATTGCCTAAAGTAAAACGATACGTATTTTGATCAATGAATTTTAACTGACTATCCTACAGTTGCTTCTAGAATGAAAACCTTCGTAGTAAACAAAACACTATAATAGTAAACGAATGAGATTAGAAATATTTCTCCAAGTTAACTGGTAGGTATATCATTAAAGAACACTCTTCAAGAGTTCAGACTTCTCAGGGTGGCTCATTCCAACTGGAATGCACTGCAGTTCTACAGAACAAATAATATGCTATCGTTTGGATAATAGTTTATTCTATCATATACGAATTTCCTATGAAAGGGCGTGAAAATGCTGGAAAAATATCCGTTTACCAATGAAGTTGAAAAATCATTAATAATTTTCTCTGCTGATATATTCTTGATAATGTAAAAAAGTGACCTGTAGCCCCTAAAGAATTTCAAGTTATTGTATTCAAATGAAGACGATGATCCGGATTTTTACTGTTGATGTTTTTAGTCGGCATTATCATAATTGAATGAAATTCTTCTTTTGGCTACTATAATGAAATATGGTCAAAGCGAATGACCCGACTGTAAAAAAAACAATTGCTAGAAACTGTTTTCACAATTTCCAAATGATTCAGAACTTAAGTCTACCACTTTATTTGTACTTGAAAAAAATGTTCAAAAATGTTTGCCATTATATAATTTTGCAAATCATTCGAGAAGTGTGCAAGAAACAACACGTATTATCGATCAGAATATATTTTTCTATATACTACATACGTACCACAGCTGTTGTGTTAGATATAATTCACTTTCTCTCACATGTTATATATGAACGGAAATCGAACAAATGTCATTCTAAGGTACTTGAAAACCCACCAGAAGAGAACTGATACGATTGCAGATTCTAACAAGAAATTTGTTGGTAAATGGAAGTAGCGTGAAAATTAAAAAAGTCTTAAACTGAATGTCCNGGTCCAGACAATTTCTGTGACAATTTTCTGGCATAATAGTTGTAGTACTAATGCATGCATCTCTTTTTTTTGTTTGAGATGGTCGATATCTGTACTTGGTATTGAAAGAACTTTATCCTTTATGTATCCCCAGACAAAAAAAATCTAAAGGAGTAAGATCTGAATATCGAACTGGCCAGTTAGTTGGTGCATTGTTTCTAACCTGTTTTCTTGGGAATATTGCACCTAAATGTTCCCTTACTATTGTTGCATTATGGGGAGGAGCGCCGTCCTGTTGAAAATATTGTATTTCATGGCGGATATTCAGTAGCAATTCATCTTAGTAGCCATCGAATTCATTGAATAGAAAATGAAGATACATTTCACTATTCAAATAATCATCGTAAAAGAAAGGGCCAAGGATATTTGTTCCCACAATTCCTATTCAAACATTTATTCCGAACCTTTCTTGGAAATTGGTTTCCCTATGTTCATTTGTATTATTCCACCTATAATGGATATTTCTGCTAAACCAACCATTGAAAAGGTAAATGCGCCACTGGAATCAATTGAGTCGCCCCGGACCGCCAATTAATTTTTGTTGTTCTTTTATAATTTCATGATTTGTATTTTGGAAGTGTTATCATTATATTCGTCCGTCCATAATATTTTTCCAACTTCCCTATTTCTACGTCTTAACCACTTCAGAAATCGTATTCTCCATCCGTAATCCCTTTCATTGAGGTGATGAACTTTACGTATTCTGTAGCATTTATATTTGTTCTTTTTCAAAATAGTTCTTGTGGATTTTGAAGAAATCCCCATTTCGTGGGCAATTTCTCGTAAAGAACAGTCTTGAATAGCATAACTAGCCAATCCTAAATTAAAAAATAGATGTTTTCACTGTGTAAATTTGTATATGGTAATATTTCCTTACCCATAACATTTATTTGATTCCTCACACTTTCAATAACCACATATTTTCTTGTTTTCTTTCTGTCAAATGCACCATAGTCCCTCAAATTTCTTTCTAATCGTGTTAACATTTGGTTGTTCGGAATACGACGATTCGGGTATACCTCAACAAACATATTCCTTGCCAAAAGAGGATTTCAATTTGATTTTACATAACCAAATAGCATATCTATCCTTTCATCATTTGAATTCATCTTTGATATATTTATAAACGTCTGACAGTTCTCAACAGATATCAACAACGCATTCATTTTTCCTGTCTTCAATGATTTTAGAATAGGTGATAGATGAGCATTTCCTAGGACCGGGTATAAACCTGTCAATAGTGACATTTCTATCATTAATATTATTACTATTTTATTGAGAAACTGAAAACCAAGAAACTAATACAGTGGTTGTTTCCAAATTTGGAATGATAGACCATTAGAATCATCACGTCTCAACACATCTCAGTTTGTTTAGGTTAGTTTATACATTTTACATGCCCCCATATATCAATTCTGAAATGTTTAATTCGACAGGAAAGTTTTTACTCTGTATTCACACTATGAGAGTGATTTTCCCAATCTGGCAAATACCCCTCATTTAATACGTTGCACTTATGATCGATGTATTACTCAATATGTATTTAATTTACAGTCTATTTAGTATGGAAACAACTAATGTTCATCTAATTATAATTTAAACTCGATAAGGAATTGAATGAAAAATACAAATGACTTTACATTTTTCAGTCTTTCCATGTGCCAGCACACTCTCAAAAAGACACGTATTCACTGTTGTCAAGTTCCACAATTCTTTTTCAGTTTTTAATATGGAAAAGGGATAATGACGTCCTATGGGTTTCGTGTGAATTGAAGATCCGATAAAAGTAAGTATTAGGAATCACACGTTAAAAGGTAAGACCTCGTTAGTCCTTAGCTCGCACAAGTTTCGACTTCTGAGGGTTGTCGTTCGTAGGGGTGTGACAGCTGATTGACGGTAAAACAGAAACAGATTATAATACTAATCGTCGGACCGTAGATTTTTATTTCATGTGCTAGAAATAGTATGTTGAAAAATGAGACCTTGTCAATCTTCAGTTTGCACAGGTTGGGTTTTTTGATAAATGTTGTTCATTAGGAGATGTCTGTTGAATATCGGCAAAATCCAAGATCCAAGGGTGTTCCACGTTGGCAGTGGTGGCGCAAGACCTAAATTTAATCTGGACAAGGTACATTTCGCGAGGCTTCTCTGATGGTGCAGAGAAGAAGGGTTTATGGAATAAGAAAACACTTGAAATTAAACAATTTTTTATTCATTAGGAAACACTTATTAAAATTTAAACTTATGTACTTTTTTGGAACTTCAAACAACAAAATGAAAATTTAAATAAAGATACAAAAGTAATGAAAACATCATACCTACAGCTTCTCAAAACCAGGAAGAGATTTGAGAATTCTATCTGTGTCTCTAACACACACACATACACAGTCTCCTAACGAACGCGCATATGTACATCATTCCAGGATATATTACTATCCATTTTGATGTTTGAAATAATGGTCAAATATAATATGGTAACCGGAAAGCTATTCAGGTGGATGACATGTTGATCCTTATCAAATTTAATACGTTAGTTATCTCAAACATAACATGCACATTATTCCATTTGAAACAAGCCACCCTGAATAACTTTTGGTACAGTGATTTTCAGGGCTGTTTAGTGATTACTTCAATAAGTGTATAAATGTGTAAAAATTGAAATAATCATAAATTATGGAGAAGTTGGAAAGTGCGCACGAAGGGCGGCATGTCTTTTTAACGAAAGAAAGAAATTGTTATGTAAGTCAAATTATGTTATGTAAGTTTTATGAAACTGGTTCAGTGACAAAGTGACAAAGAGATAACCCCAGAGTACTAGCTAGCAGCTCAAATTGAAGTTTTGAAAACATTTGCTGCAGAGCCCGCGAGCTCCTTCCGATCAGTATCAGAACATAAGGGAATGTTACGCGAGACCGTAAGAACTTGAAAATGCATACATTTCATCCTTATGAAATGCAGATTTTTCAAGAGCTCCTTCACGAGGATGATTATGATGTCTCATCGAGTCACTACCATCCCTAATCTTCTGTTAAATATCTGTTTCAGCGATAAGTGTTCATTTTTTTTAAATGGCAATGTTAATAGACAAAATTGTCCCTATTGGAGTAATGAAAAGCCACATATTTTCCGGACATTTCATACACAACACCTACAAAGAATTAATGATTGGGCTGCTATTCTTGGGAATGTCATTATTGGTCCATTATTCCTGAAAGAAAACTTGACTGGCANTCGGTTTACTAGTTATGTATAAATAAAGTAATTCTATATGAATGATGAGAGTGCTTACTTTCAATAAGTTTCATATATATTTCTAATATCTACTGAAGATATTTTGAAGAAGTTTTGAATGCATTTCAAATACTCCGTTCAAAGATACAAAAAAAAAATTCAAAATATTCAGAATGTATATATTAATGAATATATGAATAGCATTCTTACACACTACTCGAACGATAATATGCTACTTAGGCTTTATACAGTTGTAACACTAACTTTTCCATTTACTTTTTCCTACCCTTCACCTGATGGATCTGAACAAAAATCTCCAAGACTCGAGGTTGACGACAAAAGTGAATATAATTTTGAAAGTCATTGCAAATTTTTGAAACCGTTAGACAGCTCAGCAATGCAACAAAATTTCCGTTTGTTAAATTGTACAAAGTCATGCCTCGGTAATGCGATAACAGAAAAATCCACACAAAGTCAAATCAGTCGCAACCCAGTTAAAATAAACTCCATAAATTACCATGCGATTACTATTCAATTTCTTTTGTTTTTCGCCACGTCAACAGCACTTGCCGGTCACAATCGCTAGATAGACGTTCGAGCAATTCGAAGTGGAAAATCTAGACCAGTTACGTTAGTCCTTGTTCAAACGGTGATTTGAAAATGTCGAGCGTTGTGACCGAAACCGTTGAGGAAAATTCAAAACCCAAGCTGTCGCTGGCGCGGGAAATAAACTGGATAACGGTACTGTTTCAGATACAGATAACCATTTCGGCGTTGTGTACTCTACATTTCCTCTTGTACGAGTGCTACTGGACCACAGTGATATTCGGTAAGTTCTTCAAGAAGAGTTAACAAAATTCTTTGAATGGTGTTTAATCAGTTTTATGGACCTCAGAATAGCACATCAAGTTATTAATAACTATCGCATTAATAATGTATACTCACATAAAGCATCGGATATAAGATGCTTGGAAATTATATTTGATGAGGAACTCAGCTTTGAATAACATATTCAGTATATAGTCTGGGTCACAAGATCATTTTTTTGGAACTTCTGTCACCAAAAATTATGATCCAGGGCTTATTCGATTTGAAATGACCTCTAGCAACTTTTTGAAAAATTTCAAGAGGGGCTCGAAAAAATTGCACAAGTTATAAACAATTTAGTAAAAAAAAAATGGGGTTTGGTTTTTTGCAAATATC